ACTTGCAAAAAAGAGTCGAGATAACACCTAGGAAGTGTTCAGCAGAATGAGTAAAAACGAATGCTTAAAACAACAGCAGTGAGTAGTAAGCTGTCTTGAAAAAATGAATCAAGAGGAAGACTACCACCAGAAAATGACTCGAGGTGACTCGAGTCAATTTTTTATGCGACTCGGACTCGAACCTGGACTCGAAGCCTGCTGACTCAGACTCGACTCGGACTCGAAAAAGTGGTGAGTCGCCCATCTCTGAATTCACAATTGAGGAATCGCAGCACGCGTAAAGGCCGATAGAATAATCAGTTCTATATACACCTTTGTGACAGTTTTATACTCAATAATATTTAAATTAATTTCTACTACTTTACCGTCAAAATAAAAACATGTATATAGAATAATCAGTACTGAATGAAATAAGTTGTAGAACACATTGATGTCAAGTTTTCAAGTTAACTGTGTTTAAAACATGAAACAGAAACTCGGTAATCCGAAGCATGGAAAAATAATGTCATTCCGTGACGATAGTATTTCGTCTATATTTCGGAAGCGAAACATAGATTTGAAACTCTATTTTTTTCCATAGACAACCCAAAGTCTAGGCTATAATTTTTCTATAGATCACATTTCTTCAAACTGTAAGGATGAGCTGAGTTTTGAACATCTTTACACAGCACCGAAAGCAGCATTCCATTTTCTGTCATTTCATGACGGCCGATATTTTTTCTGTAAAAAATTATACATACCACGAAGTAAAGTAAAACTTTAGGATATTGAACCAGTCTCATCTGAAGAAGCAATGACAGTAGGCTTATCTAATGTCATTACTGGACTTGATGGTAGCGGACGCTGAGAAACAACCTTTGTCGGTGACTCTGGTGAATCAAAAGAGATAAGGGTATCATTCAAAGAAGAAGCAATTGCAACAGAAAGTGGATTAAGAATAGAAGCAGTACAAATTCATGTTGATGATACATCAGGAAAAGAAGGCATATTAGCATCATCAGGAGGAGTTTCAGTATCAATAAAAATTGTAGAATTTGTTGTACCATCTGGATCCACAAGCCCACCATCCAAAACTATATCATCCGAAAAACCATCTACCGGTGTTGGCAATTGTTCTTCATCTACAATATCGTTTTCTTGTACAATTTTCCAGAATTCTTGATCACATCTTGGCTTTTGTCCAAACATCACCTCATGAGATGTACATTTTGTTGCACTTGCAACTCTAGTTTTAATTCCACGACTGGTGCAAGACCTTCTGACCAATGTAGCGAATTCGTTACCTAATGCGCCAGTCGATACACCATTAGCTCTCTCTACACAACCCTGAGACTACGGATGTCGTGGTCGACCTCTTACACAACACATATCTGGAAACAACGCTTTCAATTCTTGAACAACATCAGCATCAAACTCGCGACCATTATCCGAATGCAACAAACGTGGAGGTCCAAAAACATAAAACAATCCTCTCAAACATTTAGCCACTTCAGCAGCCGATTTATTTTGTAATGGATACGCCCAACTGAATTTCGAAAAATGATCAATACAATTCAAAATCCATTGATATACAACATCATTCGAAACGACATCTGGGCGTGTTCTCATATCAACCAAATCAATTTGCAATCTGGTCATAACACCCAATGAAATTATCGGTTTGGAAACCACATGCTGCTTAACTGGTTTGCGGACTTGACAAGCAAAACAATGTTTTAGAAAAATTTCAATAACAAATTTTGGAATCCAAGAATCCAAGCTAAAATATTCAAGTTTTCAATAATAATAAGGTGAGATTCAACACATCTAGAAAGTATTCGATAACATTAAAGGAAAAAATTATGAAAAGAAAACGGAGTTTGGACTGAATGGAGAACGGAGTGCG